CTATGGCCAACCTTCAAGGTTTTTTATCCATCTTTTATATGTTGCCTATATAATCTTTGGAAGGATGTGTTATATTTGCTCATATAAGATCAGCATGACTGAATACTATCTTGGATGGAGCTCAGATCCTACCAAAACCTAAATGTTAGGTAATTATTTTTGCTTTATATAGAACAAAATAGAATATAGGTCACATGAAAAAAGGAGTGAAAGAAAGAGAGCAAGACTGCAATAATGGAAATATCTTTAATGTTACAAGCTATTCAATAACTGAAATCCGGAAAAACTTGAGTTCTGTTTTTTTGTTGGATTTTTTTTTGTTGTTCTTTTTTTTGTTTTTTGTTTTTGTGGGTCTGGTTGGCTTATTTATGAACAGGTTTAAGTATTGAGCTGTTATTCTTGAGAACTTCAGGTCCAGAATGGATGGTTTTCTAGGAAAGACACACTGCCTCATCCAGAAACTGTTGGCTCACTGCAGGACTCTTCTGGCAACATATAACCTATGTTCTGGGGGAAGCTGGACTGTATCTTCAGAATGGTCTGTCATGTTCTTCAGACCTGAGTCTGAATACTTCAACTCCATTTGCAAACAGTTAATAAACTGTTAGTTTACTGGTTAGTAAACTTTTCATAGGCTGTCAATAAAAGACTAATCAGTCTGCATACTTAAGCTGCAATCCTGTAACAGCTTCTATTGAATACTGTCTCTAATGTTGCTTGTAAATCCTTTGTGAAAGGAGACTTAAAGTGTTACAATGACAATAATAATCAGAATGTGCAATCAGTTCTCCCTGTGTTGCCAGCAATGCTGATAACGAGCTAACAGAAGCGCTGCTGATTGCTGCCATGAAGGCTGTGGGGAGCAAAACCCTAAAAGCTTTTATTAGCAACACCAAGACACACTGGTATTTCTTTCCAAACCAAAATGAATTACCTCTTCTGTTTCTAGACGGCTCCAACCATTCTTCTCATTGCTTTCCATTGCACAGTATGGTATAAAACTGATACCTGTGCTATTATACTATTATGCTAAATACTGATTTGAGTTTTGTCAAAGCAGCTCCATTCTATTTTTGTCTTTGCCAAATGGAAAATATGGCTTTGAGATTTCAGCTAGGGCAATTAGGTACACTGTTGTCTTTTCTGAGTAGATAACACCTATTGGAGGGCTTGAATATCGAGTACACTGTAAACTAAAATCCTGAGTTCATAAGCCAGGTAAAGCAGTGGTATTACAAAATCTTACCACCACCTGACCCTGGCTTGAAGAGTAACCATTTCATGAAGCAGGGAGAGCCTTATTCGGTGTTCAACCTGTACACTGAGGCAGCAAACAATAAACTCAGATAGTATGGGATGGTTGAGAACTCTTGGCTTTTCTTTTTTATATATATTCATGATATAAAGCATCTGTTTGAATCCTTTAAAAAAATTCACAAAGGCAGTGAATGATACAGAAATAATTCAGGCCACTGTTTGTTATAAATTTAGACTCAGAATAAAGATGGGGTAAACACCATCAAAATGGCTTCTTGTACAGCATGCTCTTTTCAAACAACAGAAGCCATGTTCAGCACAGCGCTATACAATCACAGCTCCCCTTGGCTCGTGTGGGAATTGTTAAGTGGCCAACACCTCCAAAAATCAAGTCTGAACTGTCTCCAGCTGGGACCCAACAAATGAATAAACAGATACAGTCCCAAACGTGAGCTGACTGTGGAAAACTTGGGCTCTGAGAGTGAAAATCTCAGTAGCTTTTGGCTGTACCTTTGTTGCACACCTCAGAAACAGATTTTAAGATGGGGATGGGGGGAGCCCTCGCTGCAGGCTTTTTAGGTGCTGTTGACATAAAGCCAACAAAGCAGCACAGGGGATCTTCAAGAAGCCAAAGTATTATTAATTACTATTATATTTATGCGCTAATGCTGGTAATCTTAAGTAACTGTTTGTGAGAATGTTTCAGCCTGGCTGAATCCAGAAGTATTGTGTAGATGCAGTAACTGTCAAGAATATGAGCTGTGGAGCAACAAAAGCCACCTGCATTGCTCATGAAGGTCTGGAACCAAAGTACCGGAAAGACAGGGTTACATGCCAAGAAAAGAAAAATCCATTTTGTATGTTCTACATATGGACCGAGGCATGAGGCCCATAAAGATGAAAAGCTGCCGCTAATTTTAGGGGGATGTTTCTATGACTAATGGGCCATGTCAGTTATAGGTCCTCTGGATATGCCACAGTGCCTGCTTGGAGCTGGAGGAGAAACACTTGATTCCCAGATGGACGCCCTAGAAAACCAACATTCCCACAAGCAACAGTATACCTGTAAAGTAATGCTGTAGCAATGGTGATGAAAATAAAACACAGTCAGATCCTGCACTTTCATGGCTGAAGGCAGCAATCAGTGAATCGTCACATTGCCAGAGCTGACTTCATTTGCACTTTGGCAAATCTGTGCAGCTAATTTGAAATCCAGGTATTATTATTTTCAGTCAAAATTCCAGCAACTGACATCTTTTGCTACTTTTCAAGTAGCCCCTAGTGAGTAGCCAATGCTAAAGGACTTTGCCATATTTGTGGGAGCACAGCCACTAAAAATAGTCAGGCATGTGCCTACAAGATGGCTTAGTTTGAGCAGGGTTATAAAACACACACTGGACATGTGATTTGCTTTGCTGTCGTATTTTCTGAGTTGTGAGCAGCAGGCTGCCAAAATAGAACTCGTTTGGTGATTTCTTCAGAGCTGTAAGCTTAAAACTGGTTTTTCTGTTCTTAATTTATGTCATGGAGTCTCAACAGCAATTTAATGTGAAGCCTCAGAGTGGGGGAAAGCCAGCTACTGATGTCTGCAGGCTGGTTGAGCGTGTGCTGGCAGAGGGCTGGAGTCAGAAGCTGTGCTGGTAACTGCTTCAAAGAAGTGGCTGCTCAATGCACAGACAGTCTGATCGTTTTCTTTCAGCAGGTGACACAAGAACTGGAGCAGAAGTCTAGAAACGCAGATGGCAGCATCTGGATATTGTACCTGAGAGTTACACGGCCAGCTCAGCATAAACAAACAGCATAGTGCATACTTTGCAGTGGCTAAAAAAGCAGCAAAACCGTTTTCACCTCCAGAGCAATAGTTCATTTCTTTCCAGAGTTACCTTTGAAAATGTTGAAAGGGGTTCAAACACTCTGAACTACAGAAAATGAAAAGGAAACTTTAATTTGAAATAATTTCATTGTTAAAAATGATTTCCTCAATGTCTCTTGTTCTGGTTAAGATGGTATATGGCAGTGTTGTGTTTTTTTCAGTGTACTGATCTATGGTTAGAATGAAAAAATACCCAAATATTTCCTAGCAAAAAATCCATTCCTAACCCACTTATAGAGAAGCCATTTTTGTTTTATTTTATTTTATTTATTTTTAATATGTTCATCTTGGAAATAGCTGTTTCCAAATCCACAAGTGTTCATAAATCTATTGACAAGAGAATGCCATGATAATGTGGCCTGTCTGTTCAGATGCAGAGGATTTCAGACCTTAATACACCATTTGTTACATAGGATAAATTAGTAAGGCACATCAGGGCTTATTTTTAATGTTGCTTATTTAATTTTACTGCATAAATCAGTCTTGACAGGACCTTGTCACAAACAGAACTGTCATAAATGATTGCTGTCAAGAACTTCAACCCAAGCATCAACATCAGACTCCTAGGAAAAAGAAGGAAGGAAGGAAGGAAGGAAGGAAGAGAGAGAGAAAGAAAGAGAGAGAGAAAGAAAGAGAGAAAGAAAGAGAGAAAAAGAAAGAAAGAGAGAGAGAAAGAGAGAGAGAAAGAGAGAGAGAAAGAGAGAGAGAAAGAGAAAAAGAAAGAAAGAAAGAAAGAAAGAGAGAAAGAAAGAGAGAAAGAAAGAGAGAAAGAAAGAAAGAAAGAAAGAAAGAAAGAAAGAAAGAAAGAAAGAAAGAAAGAAAGAAAGAGAGAAAGAGAGAAAGAGAGAAAGAGAGAAAGAGAGAAAGAGAGAAAGAAAGAAAGAAAGAAAGAAAGAAAGAAAGAAAGAAAGAAAGAAAGAAAGAAAGAAAGAAAGAAAGAAAGAAAGAAAGAAAGAAAGAAAGAAAGAAAGAAAGAAAACTCCCAAACGAATTCTTATACGCTAAATATGATTAATATGCTAAGATTGAAATTGATCTTTCTGCTACTTGCAACAGCTCCTCGTGAGACCGTTAAAATTACTCATAAAGAAGTTGTAACAGTGCCATCTGGTGATTGCTGCTGTATTTGTGCCACAGCTGTCATAGGAAGAATCACACGTAGGAACTGTAGGAGGAAGCGCTGTGTTATTTGTTACTGTTGATGTCAAGAATCTCTATTACAGTTAGACTGCTGATCTAACTGATGCGCACAGAGGGGTATCTGAAAGTTTCCTAGTTAAAGCTGGATGTGATTTTTTTAGCTTTCTTCAATACTTTTTATTCCAGTTTTTTTCTTTTCTTCCATATCATGAAACTGTCTAGTGATCCAGGTTCCCCAAAATGGCTCTTCCATGTCAAAAACAATTCTTACCCTTTCTGAAAAATTGTCTGCACAACATAACGTGTGCAATCCACAGTTTTTATGTTTGTGTTCTTGAAAAATAAGTTATAGAAAAAAGATATTGCTGGGGCTTTGTTAAAAACTAAAACAAAACTAAGTAAACAACAACAAAAAAAGCCCAAACCCCAAAACCACCAATAAAAAAAACCAAAACACTAATGTCTCATTTCCTAACTTGCAGTTTAAGTTAATGGACAGAAAGTAGATTTACCTACCATTTGACCCATTTTACATCCACTGTCAAATGAACCACCTAGAAGTTCTTATTTCCATCTGCTGAGCACAAAGGGAGCATAGGGCAATCAGCTCTGCTGCAGACCTTCAGACTACAGGCGGCTGCGCTGGGCCTGACAAGTGCCACACCACTGTATGTGTGACTCCTCTTATCCCTTCTTTGTCAAGGCTTCCCCTGTTCCTTAGATCACTCACCTGCACAATGGGAGCTGGCTTTGGGTATGTTTTCTCCACAATGATTACTTTCAGATCACCACCCTGGAAACAGCACCTTAAGGCGGACTGGCTTCGAAAGGAGCCAAGTAGATGGAGGACATAGAGCAAATGTCTTCTGCTGTAGACAGCCTCTCTTCCTAAAAGTATCTTTGAATCAAGGCAAGATACCAGGCTGGCTCTGTGAGGAGCACAATGGTCTTGGCATCAGACTATCTAGTACACGGAGGATCCATGTGGGAGGCTGGGTTATGAACTAAGGATGACCATCAGGTCCATGCAATAGGAAACCTGTGCACATGCCATTGCATTGCATTGCCCTGAATTGTGTTGACATGGGCCTGATATGTAGGAACCTCCAAGAAACTCTACTCTCATCACCAATTTCAAGACATTCTTCTTGCTGCTGATTCCCAGCCTGTGATTTATTTATTTTTTATCCCATGTTTGATAGGCATCACGTCTGTCCTCAGCATTGGTGAATTCACATCTCAAGTACTGTGTTTGGTTTTGGGCTCCACATTACAACAAAGACATCAAGGCCCTGGAGAGTGTCCAGAAAATGGCAACAAAGCCATGAAGGTTCTAGAGCACAGGTCTCATGGGGAGTGCCTGAGGGAACTGGGATTACTCAGTCTGGAGAACAGGAGGCTCAGGGGAGACCTTACTGCTCTCTACTACTACCTGCAAGGACGCTGTAGCAAGTTGGGGGTTAGCCTCTTCTTCCAGATAAAAGAGATAGGATGAGAGGTAATGTCTTCAAGTTGTGCCAGGAGAGGTTCAGGTTGGATATTAGGGAAAATCTTTTCAAAAAGAGTGGTGATGCTGGAACAGGCTGCTTAGGGAGATGGTGGAGTCACCATCTCTGGAGATGTTCAAGAAAAGAGTAGGTATAACACTGAGGAACGTGGTTTAGAGTGGTCACAGGCATAGGTGGATGGTAGGACTAGATGATCTTAAAGTGGTCCTTCCAATCTTATTGATTCTATGATTCTATGTGCAGGCAACTCTTTACTTTTAAAACAGATGCAATTACTGCATGTAAGGAGTGGAACCACGGAGCTTCTCCCTAAGTCCTAAAGGCTGTCCATAACTATAAATTCAATTCCTTTTTGCAACATCTACGTGCATGAGCAGCTAAAGGGTGCAGGTGATTCAGCCAGCTCCTCTTCCGTGTGCTGTGAGAAGACAAAAATGATATATTGATCACCACTCATTTCTATTTCTTAATTATTCATTTGCCTGACCTACAGGCTCTTTCTTCTACCACACCAAATTTATGTGCACATAACATATTCATGAAAACCAAAAGTGTATCATTTGCTGCCAGCCAGCCAGCCTACATCAAATAAATACAAAAAGGAGAGTACATTACAATGTGGGAAGTCTGATATCAAAAATATGGGCTCACCTCGTAATTCATGTGTGAGAGAATGAATATGACTTAGCTAAGAGTTTTCATTGTTAATTTTTTTCAAGCAGATTTTAATTGTTAACAGGCAGGAGCTGTGGCTATGTGTGGTCCTTCTCCCATCTTCCACTTCTGGCAGTCTGAGGGTGCTGGTGAGGAACGCTGAGTTTGGGCTGACTGTGATGCTTTTGAATCACCCACACAAGAACTTACAGAGATGGAGCTATTAAATGAGCTAAAATTCTTTCACCAACCCCAGCTGCAACCACAGAAGTGATGTCTCTCAGGGTAGCATCCCTGCCTTTGATTTCTCAGAGCCAACAATTAATGTCTGATTAGACCAGAGCCCACTCCTCTGATGCAGTATGGCAGATCTTGTGGTTTACTGGCTACAAACCTGGTCCTGCTGCTGTCAGCCATGGAGTTGAACACATCGCCTTTGATGAAGACGATTGGAACAGACACTGCTGATTAAAGAAGCCTGTTATGATTCTAAGTGTCTTGTACAGTGAGTTTCCCAATTAAACTTGGGCATTGTAATGTACTATAGGCATTGTAATTGTAGCTACACATGTTCTGACTTTCAGAAAAGATTTCCTTATGCGTCGTAATGTTACATACTCAATGTGAAAAACAATCCCTTCACTAAAAAATTATTTCTTTCTGTGCATGGGGGACAGAAATGTCCATCAGATTCAGCTAAAGATTTTTTTGTTCCTGTTGTTTTTCAAGTTCAAATTATTTTAGGGTATTTTTTTTAGACAAAAGAAAACCACTCTGACAAGGCATCATAAGCCGATAGTGTTGACTTAGTACGTAACCAGTATTTTCCCTACAAAGCTATAACGAGGTTTTGTCTTCAGTGTCTACTTCTGAATTTTGCTACTCCAATTAACTCTTACATGGCCAAAAAGCATATACATAGCTTTGAGGAAACTGGCATAGCAATGACTGTCACACTGATATACATCCATGAACATATTCTTGGTTCTTGTGGTTTTATGGTTTTCAGAAATGGTTGTGCTGAATTCTGTTATATTTTTAGCAAATTATATTTTAAAAAATTAGCAGAATACTTTGCTTTCTTAATGTTGAAATGTTATCAAAATTTAATCTGACGTGATGTGACACTGTGAAACCAGCCTTGCAGAAAATTGATTCCAGCAAGCAGTAGTCTTGGTAATGGTTTCCACTCACCCCTCCACTCCTCATCTCATGACAGAGTCTTTTGAAACTCAAAGTCTATTTGTGGTTATTTAAATGGAGAAACTACCAAGCACAGCAATTCTTTTCCCTTCCATTTCTGTATGTTTATCTTCTTTTTTCTTCCTTCAAATACAATTAAATGCATTAGTAAAAAAAAAAAAAAAAAAAAAAAAAAAAAAAAGGGGGAAAGAAATGCAAGAATGTTTTTTGGACTTCATGTTTTGGGCATGATTCAGTATGCCTTATCATGCAGTAACTTTAAATTCAATAAAATTCCTTATAAGGTAAAAGAAACAGGAGACTCCTGAGATTTTAATGGAAACTTCAAAAATCTTTTCAATTTTGCTTTAATGGCAAACGCATTAAAGCAGTCATTGTATGCCTGTAGACTACATCTTTCGTAGCACATAACCTTCCTGAGTGAAAAGAAAGTCAAGAAAAGTAGTAACTGAAGTGGTGAGCATTATCTGGAATTTATATCTTTATACACAAGCTGATTGCACACCTGGATAATTCTGAAAGCCTCTGGAACATCCAGAAATGGGATGTGATAATTGCTTGGCATGTGTTGGGGTGACTTGGAGGCAGCATTGCAGCAGGAATGTTCTGCTCCTAGAATGAGAGAGAGATTGTAGAAATATCATTGCTGGGAATCAGGTGAATACCTTTTTCCACCTTCATATGAAAGCTTCAATTTAGATAGCATTTGGCTCATAGTCTGCGTTTTTTTTAGACCTAAAAGAGCCTCAGAGAGAACAACTGTCTCTTGAAAGGCTGCAGATGTGTAGTCACCAAAGATATAGCTGCATTAAGTGGAGATTCTTCCTCTACTAAAGAGAGAAGAAGGGCAAAGCTGAGTGAAGGGAGAGTTTATACATTCTTCCTTGAGTTAGTTGTGTTTACAAGAGAGAGGCAGTGTTTTGCGGAGTGTGAATCCTGGAGATATTCTGAGAACAGTTATTGCATGTGCTGATCCAAATGTCTGCAATTATGGTATACACTGCACTTTTCTATTTCATCAGCATTCATAGACCAACTAGATATCATCCATGAGACTGGATAACATAACTGAGCAGAACCAGGACTGTTTCTTGACATAATTCAGAGATGTTTTGAAAAGACTGAAGTGCTGTCATCTTCTCTGGGGTGAAATATCCAGGTGATGCACTTTACATAGTACGGGCAGAAAGCTCTGGGGGAGCACAGTTAAAAGTGAATACTAAAATATATCCTTTTCAATGTTAGTGGAATAGATTTCTATATCCACTTGGATGTATTGCCATATATGTGAGAAATGATGTGAGGAAGTCTGTGTGAGCAATTTATCTTCGTGTTTCAAATCACCTATAATAGCCCTGATTAAATTTGCAATATTTATAATATATATAGTACTTACTGTTTGCATTTTATATTTGCTTTACAAAGAAAACATTTGAAAATGTGAAAATTGAGAATTTACAGAGTTAATTCTGGCAGAATTAAAAAATGAAAAATGAAAAAAAAAAAAGAAAAAAGAAGCCATTGTAGTAATAAAGGCACATTCCCTTATAGAAATCAACAAATATCTTATCCTTAGCATATATTCCAGAGAAGTTTGATTATGCCATTATCCTCCAAAAAGCCTTAAACTCATTCAAGTTATGCAGCCCTGAACCTGTGAGCAGTAGAACCAGAGCAGGCATGAATGGCACCAGTGTCATGCAGGTTATGGCAATTTTTGATACTTAACACTGAAGAAACCAACAGAAAGAGTTATTCAAGAAATTACACAGATGTTATTTCTGCATTTGAGAAAGATTTTTGTTTCCCTGTCTACTTCTGCAATCAATATTTTTGCAAAATGCTGTCTTGCTCCAAAGTGAGGACTTCTGTATGCCACACAGCACCACATATTGCTATGGCTCAAAAGTTACCAGGTGTTAACCAAAGATCATGACTTAGGTGTCTGGATACTGTCAGGTCCATCTCATGTTTCCTTTGGTATGCAGGCAGAAGGCGGAGGAAGAATCATAGATTTGTTATAGTCGGAAGGGACCCTTAAAGGCAATCCATTCCAACTACCCTGCTATGGACAGGGACAGCTACAGCTCCATCAGACTGCTCAGAGCTCCATCTGGTCTGACCTTGAATGTGTCCAGGGATGCTGCATCCATGTCTCTGGACAACATGTTTGAATGCTTCATTACCCCAATTGTACAAATCATTTTCCTTATATCCAGTCTAAACCTTTTCTCTTTTATTTTGAAACCACATCCCCTTGTCCTATCACAACAGACCCTGCTAGAGTCCATCAAGGCCCTGATACTTCAAAAGGAAACCAGGTCCTCCTAGACAGCATCTGCTACAGATTAGGTGTGCAAATAGGTTCAGGTCACCTTGCTTTTAGTCCGAGTACTTTACTGATGGAAACAGGCACTCATGGCGTACAATTCCTCTGCTCCATTCAGGTGTGTGAGAAGGAGAGTTATGCTGAACCCTGGCAGTGTGTATCTTTCCTCACTCATGGCCTAGAGGGACAGAAGACATGGATGTTAAAAATGTGAATGTCTACAGTGCAGATGTCTAAAGCCAGGTGAAAATCACAGAATCATAGAATGGTTTGGGTTGGAAGAGGCTTTAATTATCATCTTGCTCCAACACACCTGCCACGGGCAGTGTTGCCCACCATTAAGTCAGGCTGTTGCGACCTTGAGCCTCTCTCCCTTGGCTGGGTCACCAGGACCACGTTTATCCCATGAAGTCCCCTGACCCCAGTCCCAAAGCTGGAGGCAGCCGTTGGTGGCTCATGGACTGCAGCCAGCCGGGTTGGCAGGGAGACCTCAGCCTGCGTAGGAGCACGGATTGAGGCACAGGACTCAGCCCTGCAGTACCTCGGGCACTGCTGTCTTACTCCAGGGTGAGGGGACAAGACCCCCCAGCCTTCTTGGGGGCTGCCCTGCAACCTCTGCAAAAACTCGGTGTTGTGACGAACGGGCAAAAACCGAGTGGCAAAGCTTTAACAGTCCACGTTCTTTGGCTGGTAGGCAGGAGGCGCCATTTAACAGCGTGTGAAGGGGACAGGAGGAGGGAGGCAGCTGTGAGGCTCGGGCGGGACGGCCTACTGCCATCAGCTTGAAGGGACAGTGTCCCACTTCAGAAGCTGCAGCTGCAATGCAGGGTAGCCCAGCCCTGCAGCAGTGCAGCCCCTCAGAGCCATACCGTGTGGGACAGCTCAGCGGAACCCCTCAGCCCCCCAAAACTGGGGCACAGAAGCACGGAATGGGGATCTGCTGTTGTCCTGACCTTGGCAGAGGATGAAAAGAATCAGTGGTGCATTGAGTGTGAGCATGGGAAGCTCATCGAAAACTACAGCATACACTCTTCAATGTATGCTTTCACTCTTCAAGGTCCTTTACACCAGAGATGTTTTCATACAACAGGTATTAAGGGGTGACGTTAGCACAGACATTGCCACCTGGAAAGCTGCAACTAAATGTGCCAGAGGTGAACTATGGTGATTTTGACCACTGTGCTCTAGGGCTCGATCTGCTTTTTTGTCTGAAAAACTTGACTGCCTGCTTCCGTATGCAAAACAGTTAACTGGAGAACATTCCTTCTCCTTCTTGGGGGGAAAAAAAAAAAGAAAAAAGAGAGAGAGAGGAGTGAAAAGGAGTGAAAGAGAAAAAAGGAAAAAGAAAAAAAGAAAGAAACGAAGGAAGAAAGGAAGAAAGAAGTTTTCACTAAAAAGTAAAAACCCATCATCAGGTTAGAATATGTTTGAGGATTTTTTAAATTCACATAGTCTTTATGTTTGTGTCTGGAATGGGAGGGAGATAAAAAAAAGGAAAAGAAAAAATCATGGAAAGGCAAGAGGGGAGGAAAGGAGAGAAAAGGAATAGAAAAGAAAAAAAAAAAAGAAAAAGAAGAAAAGGAAAGGAAAAAAGAGAAAAAAAAGAAAAAAGGAAAGAAAAAAGAAAAGGGAAGGGAAGGGAAGGGAAGGGAAGGGAAGGGAAGGGAAGGGAAGGGAAGGGAAGGGAAGGGAAGGGAAGGGAAGGGAAGGGAAGGGAAGGGAAGGGAAGGGAAGGGAAGGGAAGGGAAGGGAAGGGAAGGGAAGGGAAAACACACAAAGATTTCCAGCAAAACTTTCCGTCAGCAGAAGGAACAAAAATGTATGTATCTAGCAAGAAGTTAAACCACATTAATAAATTTACTCACCTGTGTAACATGATTTCCTTGTTTGCATAAAGTTTATGAACTGCTCATATATCAGTACGGTGGATTCCTGTTAAAGAGCTGATTTATTTCAGTGAAGTAATCCTAGTGCAAAACTGGTGTAAGAGCAGGGTAGGTGTCTGGCTTCAGTAATTCCTGACTTACATCACGAGCCAGCGGAACTGAACTCTGACATTTCTTCTTAAACATGCTTAGTATTAAATGAAACCGGCGTGTTTGACCTAACGTTGTTCGCTGTTCCACAGGAATAATATCAAACTCTGTCCTGACATACATGTACATTAACCCAAATGATCCTAAAAGAAAATGGAACTTGTGCATACATCAGAGGGCAGAATTCACCCCCGTACTTACAATAACCAGAAATTTCAGCTATGTAGCTGGCACACAAAGAATTTTAGATCAGAATGATCGCGGAATAAAAGCTAGCCGTTTGCTGGCTTTATCACAGCCAAGCCAATTGGAAAGAATGTATAAACTTCACCTTTTGCCTACTCCATCTGCCTGTGCCTGAAAAGCTGCCTTTGCATAAACCTTCCTCCGGTATTTTTTATCAACTCCACGGACACACTGTGATTTTTATTTATTTCGTTCTTTTTAACCACAGCAGCCATCAATTCTAATAAGAACTGGCGTTCTGCTGAGATTTTGTAAGATAATATTATTTTCAAAGGCTTATGTTTCGTGATGACAGTAAAACCAGCAAAAGCTGTGCCCTGAAGAAGTTCGGGACGGCAGAAGAAGGCATAAGACACGGGGCTCAGTGGGCAGAATCAGCCACTCGCATGGTCACCCCGTAGCAAAGCTCTGAGCTGTGAAAAACTCGGGGTGCTGGGGTTTGTTTTTTTGCCCACCGAAGTTTCTCACTGGCCAAGGATGCAACTGAGAACTCATTAAAGGCTTTCGCAAGCTGTGGGTTTTCTGCTGGCCCCCTGGGGGAGCTGCAGGCTGAGGCAAACGCCCCATTGCCCGGCTTACGGGGACGCGTTGAACCGGGTAAATCGCTGCTTGGAATAAATAGCCTGAGATGGGAAAACAGTAATCCAAAAAACAATAAGGAGCCGGAGCGCTTTTTTCCACCTACAGCTGAGAATGCGTTTGAAAAGCAACACCTAAAACATATTAGGAAGGAGACTGTTTGTTTGTCTGAGTGTGACTTTCTTGGCAGCAGGATTTATCCCTAATTTATAACCATTATGTAAACTTCTGACTTCCAGATTCACACTGTGAAAATATTCAAGATGAACTAATCAGGGTGGAAATCTGAAATTGTTTCTGCATGGTTTGTATCCCCCATCTGGCAGCGCAGAACAAACAATACGACCCTGATGGTGTTTACATGAGTTACCTTGTTGGAGGAAATGATCGTACTTAGAAAATTGTCCCTGCTCA